TACAGAGCACAGTCCCAAGTTCCAAATCCTAAACCCTCTTTGGGCTCAAGTCTCAAGCACTCTGGCTTTCCCAGGCTTCCCGGCTGGTCTCCAGGCTAGCTGGCTGGCTACGATCATCCCACACAGAATCCTGGCTGCAAGGTTGGGATGGATCTGAGCTCCAGTGAGGTCCAAGCACCTGAAACTTTAGATTGACAAACAACATAAAACAAATAATTTCTCAGAGGCAGGATATATAGGGAGCTTTTCTTCTTGTCAATGACTGCTCTGGGGCATAGACAGAGAAGTTGAATCTCTGGGTCAAAAGATGCATTTTAGGGGCAGCTAAGTGGTACAGTGGATAGAGAACTGGCCCTGGATTCAGGAGGACCTGAGTTCAAATGTGGCCTGAGATACATAACACTTACTAGCTGTGTGACCCTGGGCAAGTCACTTAACCCCCATTGCCCAACCAAAACAAAAGGTGCATTCTTTGCATAAATTTCAGATTGCTTTCCATAACGGGCATTCTAATTCATAGCTCCATGAACAGAGCATTAGTGTGCCTACCTTTACACAATCCCTCCAAAACTGACTATTTCCATCTTTGTTATCTTTGTCAAATGGCTGGGCAGCCTGGATAAGAAGCCTAGCCTGACCTTGAAAGGAATGAGTTCAGTTTCTCTTTATGATTTATACTGCCAGTGTGTATTTATGATTTATACTGCCAGCGTGCCCATAGGCATTCCGTTTCTCCTCTGATGCTTCGCTTTTTCACTTGTGAAATAAGGCTGTTGGACCAGACGGTCCCTTCCAGCTCTGGATCTGCACCTTGTTTTTCCTCAATAGAACACAAGTTCCTTGAAGGCAGGAATTGCTTCTTTTTTGTGTTGTATCCCCCAGCACTTGCCACGGTGCTTGGCACGTAGAAAATCTTTAACAAATACTGGTTACTTGACTAACCACCAGATGAGTAGTCAAGATCCAGAAGTTCCCTTCTGAGTATTCCCACCATCTTAACTGGTTTGACTTAAGGGGGGAAATCACCTCTTCACGGAGATGAAGATTCCTCTCGTGAATGAATGAAAAAATGATGACTGAATGAGCATTTATTAGCTGCCTCCTGTGTGCCAGGCACTCTGCTGATGGCTGGGGATAAAAAGCCCCAAACGAAAGGGAACTTCCCCAAGGGGCGGATTGTCTATGGAGGAAGATAAGAACCAGTGTAAGAACATGCAGAATATCTCTACCAAATGAACACCATGCAGTCTGGGAAAGAAGGCAACGGAACACTTGGCTCAGCTAACCAGGATACAAGGAACACCCGAGAGCAGCCCAGTGTACAGACTGCTAAGCCACTCCTGGGAAAGGAGGCTCATGGAGCCCCCTCGTGGCTCCTAGTCGGTACTGCGCCTGCTCGGGAGGGCCGCAAAAGCTTTTCTGCTTCCGGACTACATTTCCCAGAATGCCCATGAATTTGATGCCTGTTGGGGGGAGGGCGGGATCCCTCCGTTTGTCAGACACGTCCCACAATAGATCGTGAGGATGGGCCCTGAGGGAGAAGCCCTGGTCTGGTAGCTTGAGGCGAGACTTCCAGCTCGGACTCCTGGTGAGCGCCCCAGCGGTTGAGGGCGCCAGTGAGGGAGGGAGCTGGGGAGCAGAGGACTGCGCCTGCGTAGCCCCAACTTCCTCCTCGATGGGGCGGGCGGGGGAAGAGAGCGGGAGGGGAGGAGTGCGCATGCTCTGACCGATCGCCTCCACTCCCCTTGAACTGGAGAGGAGAGAGCGGATGCGAGCCTCTCCTTCTCCCTGCAGGGCGGGGGGGGGGGGGGGGGTCTTTGAAGAGTGTATGCGCACGCGCATGGCCCCGGGGATGCAGGAAAGGCTGTGCAGGGCATGGGTGGGTCAGTGTTGGGGGAGCAGGATTGTGTGCATGGGGGGGCGGTGTGTCCTACCCGTAGAGACACGTGAAAGCATAATTGTGATCCGGTGTGTGTGTGTGTGTGTGTGTGTGTGTGTGTGTATGAATGAGCATTTATTAGTTTATTAGAGTGTGGATGGAGGAGGCGTTTATGGGTAAGCGTGTACCCTCGAGGGTACTTGGGATGTGTGGGAGGTTAGGGGTTGGCCAGGGGTCTCACCCCCTCCACATTTTGGTGTTCTTGATGACTTGCTGTGCCCCAAACAGTTTAATGCCAGGTGGTGGGCCTTCTGCCAGTGTCTGACCTCTGCCCTCGCTGGTAGCATTAGGTTCCTGAAAATGATAAATGTTGGAGAAGATGTGGGAAAATTAGAACGCTAATGCATTGTTGGTGGAGTTGTGAACTGATCCAACCATTCTGGAGAGCAATTTGGAACTATGCCCAAAGGGCTATAAAAATGTGCATACCCTTTGACTTCTAGGCTGTATCCCAAAGAGATCATAAAAATGGGAAAAGGACCCACATATACAAAAATATTTATAACAGCTCTTTTTGTGATGGCAAAGAATTGGAAATTGGAGGAATGACCATCCATTGGGGAATGGCTGAACAAGTTGTGGTATATGAATGTAATGGAATACTACTGTGCTATAAGAAATGACAAGCAGGTGGACTTCAGAAAAACCTGGAGAGACTTGTATGGTCTGATGCTGAGTGAAGTGAGCAGAACCAGGAGAAGGTTGTACACAGTAACAGCCATGTTGTGTGATGACTGACTTTTGTTAGACTTAGCTCTTCTCAGCAATGCAAGGATCTAAGACATCTCCAGAAGTCTCATGATGGAAAATGCTATCCACATCCAAAGAAAGAACGCTGGAGTCTGAATGCAGATGGAAGTATACTATATGCTCTTTTTTTTTGTTTTGTTTCTTCTTTCTTGTAGTTTCTCCAATTGGTTCTAATTCTTTTTTACAAGACTAATGTGAAAACGTTTAATATGAATGTATATGTAGAGCCTATATCAGATTGCATGCCAAGTTGGGATGGGGGGAGGGGACAGAGGTGGAGAAAATTTAAAACTCAAAATCTTATGAAAGTGAATATTGAAAACTAAATATAAATATTTTTTTTAAAAAGTAGGTTCATGAAAAGAATGAAACTGATCTCCTGTCACTTTGTATGTCCAGGGCCCCAGTTACAGTGTGTGGTCATGAGGTCATGGTCCAGCCCACTACCTCCAGTCATTCTCTGGCCTGGGTAGCCCCTGGAGGAGTCCTGAGGGAGGGGAGAGCAGGGTCCAGCTGGGCTGAGGGTCTGAGCCCCAGGTCAAGTGACCTTGACTTTGGGTCTGTAAGCCCCAGCTTCACCCAGGAAAGGGACTCCAGCCCAGAGAAGACATCTGCCCCAAGACCTTTCACTGAAGCTTCAGGGCACCATCCGCTAGGAGGGAGCAAGTCCTGGAACCCTGGTCTTACAGTGATTACTGATAGTCTTTGAGAGCAGAAAGGACTGAAGCTGAATGAGAGGGTGGATGAGTGAAGAGAAGTGTTGGTGGGGCAATGGAATCTGTGTACTGTGGGAGACAGGAAAACATGCCTCAAGGGATCTTTCCGTCTGGCTTGCAGCTGAGATCTATGTGTTGTCTTCTCCTCTAGACTATGAGCTCCCTGCCAGCAAGGACTATCTCTTCTGTTTGCAAGGATGTTTTGCACATAGTAAGCATTTAATAAGTTTTTGGGGGGGGGGCAGTTTATGCGGTTTTTTTTGGTGAGGCATTCAGAGTTAAGTGACTTGCCCAGAGTCACACAGCTAGTAAGTGTCAAGTGTCTGAGGCCGGATTTGAACTCAGGTCCTCTTGACTCCAGAGCCGGTGCTCTCTCCACGGCACCACCAGGCTGCCCATTTTTTATGCTTTTACAGCAGGCAATGTGCTAAACACTTTGCAAATATTATCTCATTTGATCCCCGAAACAACCATGTGAAGGAAGTAGGTGCTGTTAGTATCCCTACTTTACAGTTGAGGAACCTGAGAAAGAGATTAAGTGACTTGCCCAGGGTCACAGAGCTAGTAAGTGTCTGACACTGAATTTCAACTCCTATTTCTCTGACTCCAAGCCCAGGGCTCTCTCTCTCACATAGAGGCTAGAGACAGGAAGATGTGAGTTTGAATCCTGTCTCAGATGCTTGGTAGCTGTGTAATTCTGGCCAGGTAACCCAGCGTCATGACATAAGCCTGTTTCCTCCTTTGTTTAAGGGGGGGGGAGGTTGTGGAAATTATTAGTTTCTGAGATCCCTTCCACCTCTATAAATGAAGCCTTTTTATTTGCCTCTACCCACTTTGGTATCGCATCATGCCATCATCTTAGCCTTTGCGGTCATGGTTTTAATAGACCAAAGGTAGAGGTCAGAGAAGGTCAACACTGGAAAAAACCTTCAATACCCTCTAATCCACCTCTCTTGTTGTTTACAAATGGGGAAACTGAGACCTGGGAAGGGTGCAACACAGTGTTCAAAGCCCTGTGAATGGGGCTTGGGCGTCACGCCCCGCACCGTCGAAGGGAACCAAAGGGAATCCGGCCAAGGACCCCAGCTTCCCGGGAGGGGATGCCGGGAATTCGGGCCGTGGCCCAGAGGGGAAGGAGGCCGTGGTCCAGGCCCCTCCCGCGGAAGCGATCCTGACCACGGGAGACGTTTCCCTCGGGGGGCTCTGGGGTCCCCAGTTGGAACTTCCCAGCCAGGCCGCGCACAAGGAGAATCCTCTTTGAATGGCATTCTGGAACTTCCCTTGGGGGAGGGGCTCTCACCCTTCCGGTGAGCCCCTCCTTGGACGAAGGGTGAACCCCGCCCGGCGCCGGGGGCGGTGTATGAGCGCCGCCCTTCCCAATGCGCAGGCGCAGAGACTCCGTCGGGAGAGGAAAGCTCGGACCCGTCGAAGTGAATGGCTGAAGCGGCGCCTGCGCAGTGCGGGCCAGGAGGCGCCGTCCTGCTTCTGAACTCCATATGCCAGAATGCACCGGGAGGCCCCTCAGGTGCGGAATGACGTAGACTTCCCATTTTGGGGAAGCGTTCTCCCGGGTGTCAGAAGGCTGAAGCCGTGTTCCTTCCAGGAGGCCAGACTCGCAGCCCGGGGCTCCGGGGGCGGCTCGAGGGTCTGAGCCAGCGCGTGAGTGCAGAAGGGAGGGCCTGAGGGAGGGAGTGCGCACGCGCAGCGTCCCCCGCCGACGCCTCCCCCTGCCTGCGCACCGCCCCTGGGCCCTGCCGGGCGCCTCCTGCGGGCGAGTCAGTGCGCAGGCGCGGCGTCCCCTCCCGCTCCCCGCCCCCTCCGGGCCGTGCTCTGGTGGGGGAGTGAGCGGTTGCTCGTGTACGCACAGGGTTGCTCGCGTGTGCGCCCGGTTATGCTCCCGTGGAGGATCGTGGGGCCTCCGGGAACGCGCGCGCGTATATGTACTTGCACGTGGGAGTGAGGTTTCAAGGCGTGGGCCGCGTGTCCGTGTGCGTGTGATCTGCCACGCGGGACGGCCTGATCTGGAGAGTTTGGCTTGGATTCTCTGCGTGGGTCCGATTTCTCTTCCCATCTCCCCCCATGCCCTGCCCCCTCCTAGCTTTTCCCGCAGATCGCCCCCCACCTCATCAGCCGGCAGACCCCCAAGCCCACATATCCCCCATCCCGAAGACCCTCGGCCCCTCCCCTCTTTTCTCAGCTCACCCAGGGCCTCCCATAGGCCCTGTTCCCTCCTCCCTTGGCCAGAACGACCCTGGCCGGGGGTCTTGTCCGAGTTCAGCATTCCCCCTCCCCCTGGGGGTGGCCCCTGCTCTCTCTCCCTCTTCAACGCCTTCTCAGTCAGACGTGGATGAGGAGCCTACTGTGTCCCGGGCCCCGCGCCTGCCTTCAGGGAGCTTCCCCTCTAAGGGGGAGGCTGCCCGGATGAAGGGGAGTCGGGTAGAGGGGTCGCACTCAGCCTGCCTGTCTCCTGAGCCCTTTAAAATGCAATTGGGAAATAGTTAACCCAGCAAAAATACATTGGACCGTAGGTAATGCTAGCTCGGGCTTTAAGTCAGTCAGCATCCCACGGGACCGTTCTGTTTGAGTGGGACCCACTCCTGCAGACGGGGACATTCCAGTGGGGATGGAAGCGGGGACGCCAGGGAGTGGAGCAGAGGAGGGGGGCAGCCAGAGAGAATGCCCAGAGCCCAGAGGCAAGGGGCTCCTCCCTGGAGCACGCTGGGTGGGTGCCCCTGGAGCCCAGAGGGCTGGCTGGGGAGGAACGGGAGAGGATGGGAAAGGTGTGAAGTGCCTCGAAGTCCGGACAGCATGTTGTGTTCGTCTGCGCTTTAGGAATATCACTTTAGTGGCTGAATGAAAGATGAATTGGAGTGAGGAGAGACTTAGGCAGGCAGACCCAGCAATAGACGATTGAAATAATCCAGGTATGAGGTGATGAAGGCTCGTGCCAGGGCGGGCACCGTCAGGGTGGCTGAGGTGGGGTAGTCCTTGGGAGGAGAGTAGGTTGAAGAAGTGAGTGGTCAGGACGCCTGAGGGAAGTCAGTATGTGTGTTGAAGTCCCATAGTATGAGGGCAGGGGTTGAGGAGGAGAGAAAAATTGTGAGCTATGTACTAGTCTCATTGAGGAAGGAAGGGGAGTGACCCAGGGGTCTCTAGACAACAGCTCCCAGGATTTTAATTGGGTCATCGATGGGAACAGCATGAACCTCAGAGGAGGGAAGGTCACTGAGTGATGGAGGAAGGGGGAGCACGTGGAGGTGGCAGTGGGGAGCAAGGTGTGTTCCATCTTGAGCAGTGAGGCGAGACACATGAGGAAAGGTGACCAGGCAGTCTGCATCATTGCGGGGAGCCAGGTTTAGGAAAAGCTAGCAGATGGAAGGAGTGGGAGAGGAAAAGATTTAGGGATGATGGGAAGTTTGTTGCCTGTGAAACATATTCCAGGGAGATTGGAGCTTTGGGGTGGGAAAGTTGTGGTGAATGAGAATATACAATCTGGGGGAGTGTGGGAATCCTCATCCTCACTTCCCCTGCTCATGTGTTTGGCTTACTCCTTGGCCCTCTTCCCTTTCCTGTCTGCATTGAGTACTCTTGCTGGCCTTAGCTCACGTGAGTTTAATTTGTTTTGATTAATTTTTTAAAAATTATAAGCATTTATTTTATCTTCCTCCCAACTCACCCCTCAGCAATTGAGAAAGAAAATAAAAACAAAACCTTTTTTTTTCCTAAACACATGCATAGTCGGGCAAAACAAATCCCCACATCGGCCACGCCCTAAAGCATGCCCTGATGCTGTCCCTTCTTCAGCAGGAGCTGGGCCAGCTGCTTCATCTGCCTTCCTCTGAAATCTTGGCTTATCAATGGCATTGATCAGTTGTTCAAAGTTGTCTTTAGAGTGTCGTCGTTTTTGTCTGAGTTTTTGTCTGAGTTGTTTTCCTACTTTGGCTTCCTTCACTCTGCATCATTTCCTACAGGACCTCCCAGGTTGTTCTGAAACTGTCCCTTTTGTTACTTCTTATGGCAGCATGACGGTATCCTATTATGTTCCTAGACTGTATTTTGTTCATCCATTTCCCAGTGGATGGGCACCCCCTCGTGTTCCCGTTCTTTGCCATTATGAGATGAGCTACTCTCCATGTTTTTGTATATATGGGTCCTTTCTTCCTTCTTTGTGCTCCTTGGGGTGCAGACCTGGTAGTGGTACGGATGGGTCCAAGGATTGGCACAATGTACTGTGTGCTTGGGCACAGCCCTCGAATCTGATTGTCGCCTCTGTCCTGATTACTCTCAGTCCTGATTTTCCTGAGCTCCCATCCTATTTCAGCAAGTACTTAATTGCACATTACAATCTGAACGTCCAGTAGGAAGCTCAGACTCAGTGTGACTTTCATCCCAAATCCTCCCTCTTTTACCCGGCCCCTGTTACCGCCAAGGACATCACAGCCCTCCCCATCGCCCGGGTTTGCAAACTGATTGTTGTCCTTAGCTCCTCACAATCCCTGAACAAGCCTGTTCAACCCATTGCCAGTTCTTGACTGTCGTCCCTCTCCCTCCTCGCTCGCTCTTGAATCTGTCCCCTTCCCTCCACCAAGCTGTCCCTTCATTCGGGCCCTCATCCCTTGTGGATTATGGTCGTAGCCTCCGATTTGGTCCCTTTGCCTCAAGTCCCTCCATTCTCCAATCTGTTCTCCTCACACAGCCATGCTGGTCTTCCTCTAGCGTCCATACGACCACGTCACTTCTGTTCAGGAAGCTCCCAGGGCTCTCTGTTACCTTTAGGATTCTTAACCTGGGGATCTCAGACTTGTTTTTAAAAACAAAACACTTTGATAACTGCTTGTCAGTATGATGGGTTTCTTTTGTAAGTCCTATGCATTTTATTTTAGGCATTTAAAACAATTGTTCTGCACTGGCTTCCTTAGATCTCCCTAGATTGCCAAATGGGTTCACAACTAGAGCAGGATCAAAGAGAAATGCCTCTATTTGGCACAGGCCCCAGCCTTCCTTTCCTTATTCTTCCTTAGGCCTCTCCCTACCACAGCGGTCCAGCCACCCTGGCTGTGCTTGGAGTGCTCTCTGTGTGTGAAGGCTGTGAATGTGCTTGAGTGTGTGTAAGTTTAAAGGTCAATTGTATGTACACGGGGGTCAGTACAGGGTGCCCGAACCCAGCTCATCGAGCCAGCAGTGTGGCCGTAGGGAACAGGACTGTTTTACCAGGCCCTGAGGATACCGGTTATTTCTGTAGCCATGGCGGTGCTCCTCCATCTGTCTGTTTCTTGCTGATTCCACACCCCCCCCCATTTGTGTTTCTGTTGTAAGGCTCTGGCACGGGAGCACGAAGGTGTGCCCAGTGACTGGGTCACCTGTTCACAGGCCAGGAGCCCTCCACCACCCTCTTGCCGACTCTCTCACCGGTAGTGTCTCACTTACTTTGGAGGTGATTCTCTGGAGGAGCCCGCATCCTGTGGGGGTCAGGCAAGTTCTCTGTTTTCCCCCTTCCTGCCTGCTGGGGCCCCTCTTTTCCCCATCCATGGTCCCCTTCAGCCCAAGGACTCCAGTGCACAACCAGGTCAGGGGAAACCCCACTAGACATCTCTTCTCCTTTGTCTCATTGGAGTTCTGATTTTACAGTATGGCTTGGGTTGGCATCAAGTCGGTAAGCATTTATGAATTGCCTACTACTAGGTACTTTGCTGAGCACTGGGGAGACACAGAAAATGAAAGCCAAGCAGTCCTGCCTCCCAAGGAGCTCCTGGTCTGGTGGGGGAGGAACACCCCAACAACTATGTGCAGGTGAGACCTAACAGGAGAGGCTGGAGGCAGCCTTTGAGGGAAGGCAGTGGAATTAAGGGGTATCGGGGAGGGCTTCTTACAGAAGCTGTGGCTTTAGCTGAGGCGCCAAGGAAGCCCAGGAAGCCCAAGAAGCCCCAGCCAGTGACACTGAAAAGTTTTGGAGGATGTGTGAGGAGCCTGTGGTTATCGGCTATTGTTCCTGCCGATTCCCCTGCCCACTCTCCTAGATAAAGTGCCAGGGGAGAAGAACAGAGCTGGTTGGGAAAGTTTTTTGTTTTTTTAAATACCAAGAAGATTAAGGCTAAAAAGGTTATTCTGCATTTTAGACGTATGAGGGTTTAGGGTCTACACCCTCTGAGTGTGGCCTTCATCAGATGGTCACCCCTCTGTCTACCTGCTACTGACTCATTTTCTTATTCATTCTCATCTTGGCTTCTAAGTCAGTCAAGAATTATATTCTGTGGACGTTAATAATTGGAGCTGCAACATCTCCCTCATTAATTATCAAATTAGCTCAGCCCCCACCCTATTTATCACATATTATGAAATGAATTGGGGAAACTTCTTCCCACAAACCTTGGCTTATCTCTGTACCCTCCCCCAGGACCTATTCGAATGTCAAAGTCACTAGCTTTGCAGTGAACAATTTAATCCATAACAAAATAAGGAAATAAATGATTGTTTTCATGCTGCATCAGATGTGAGAAAGCTCACAGCCAGAGTCACCTTTAATCGTCACAACAGCTATTGACTTCTCGATTCTAGAAGTCAAGCCCCATCATTCAGCTCTTGGGACCTCCACCCAATTCTGTTCTTTAGTGTTTCTTTGCATGATGGAAGTAAGGCCAGAAGGACATGGATGAGGAGGGTAGCTTTGGGAGTTACGTGTGTGTATTTTTAAAAATTTTTTTAGGATAGTCGAAACTTTTGTTGGCTAGGGGGAAAGGTGATAAATGTGGGTGCGACTGTAAGTTGCCTGTATTTTAAGTTCCTCTAGGACCAACCAGGGCATATGAAATTTTGGTGTTGTGTTTTGTTTCATTTTGTTTTTTTCACTCAGGATCATCTCAAGAATGAACACAAGCAAGGAACAACCCTTTTCTCTTGCCAAGATCTGTAGAGCGTTAGCTAAAGCTCAGCCTGAAAAGCAGGGGTGCAGGGCACCAAAATCTCAGTGACTCTGCTTCTGATTTTAACATCCAGCAGTTGGTGTTTTTAATTATCTGTTCTTTGTCCTGGAATTTTACGCTGGATCGGGATGAGTTTTTACTTCAGCGGCAAGATTGCTCCATCAAAGGACATTTCTTCTCACCCTGACAGAGTTGTGGTTTTAAACCAATAAGGAATCCATTAACGTGCAGCCACAATGAAGAAAATCACATGTTGAATTTATCATAGTCATATCATAAAAGGAAAAACAGGCTGCATATAATAGAGATCTTTAGATTCGTGTAGCGTCCTCTTTTTTTCTCTTCTACTTTGTATACAGAAGTGCTCATTTTATTTGGTGTTTGTTCAGAATTTTAAAGAAACGCTTTTCGAAATTTCCTCAGTGATGACAGTTACAACGTCCAAGAATTCATCAAATCTGAAAAATACAACCACAACAACAATAATAATGATAAAAGTTAAGATTAATGTGCCAGGCACTGTGCTGAGAGCTTGGTAATTTTTATCTCATTTAATGTTCACAATGATCCTGAGATGAGGAAACTGAGGCAGATAGAGGTCAAATGATTTGCCCAGGGTCATGCAGATAATAAATGTCTGAGGCTGAATTTGAACTCAGGTTTTCATGACTCCAGGCAGGGTGCCTCATCCACTGTGCTACCGAGCTGGTAGTAGTATCCACAGTCTGTGGAAGAAGCCATTGAGGCTAGTATTACATTTGGTAAGGGAAAGAGTCTGAATAAAAGTGGCTTTTTGGAAAGTTTATATTTTTAAAGTAAAGTTTAATCATTAACATTTTTAAAAAGTGAGTTTAGTTAAGTTTTAACCCATTCAGGGTGTGTGGGCCCACCCACTAATGAAGATTACCACGTAGGCCTGTTGGTAGGTTTGCATGTGCAGAGGGGAGGTGACCTCAACACCTCTGAGCGTTAGTGGACAGCGTATGGCTGTGGGAAAAAAGCTGTATCGCCCAATGTTCCTCCTCCTCACGGACCCTCCAGTGTGTGACAGAGTGGGTTTTCCTTCAGTGTTACACGAATGAGTGAAACTCATCACTGGCCCGTGTTTACATCCAGGGTCTGCGACTGTCTCCAGAGGTCCTGAGTGACTGGTGAGACTCTGATTTCTTGGCCCCTCCTGCTGCCTCCAGAGCCTCAATTCTCAGGTGACGGCGGGTGCCCGAGCCCCAGGTGGAAGATCCCAGGTAGAGTGATCTTGCTTTTGAGCCCCCAGGCCCCAGCTGGACTGTGAAGTGAAGGGGGTGGAGCCTTTCCTACATGAAGAGGAATCCCACCAGGAGATGCGCCTACCCGAGGTCTGAGTGCACAGCCTGAGACAGCACCTTCCGCGAGGATCAGCCCCTCGCAGTGCCTGGGGGGCAGCAAAGGACTCCTGCCCGTCCTGCCTGGCAGGGAGGACTCAGCCAGGCCAGCACCATGGAGGACTTGACCCTCCTGCTTGGGGAGAGAGGTGAGTGTCTTGACATAGCAGACCGGGTCTGTGAGGGAGTGACCCTGGTGGGGAGCGATGAGCAGTTACAGCAGATACCCCAACTCTTCTTTCCCTTTCTCTCCCCTCTTCCCTCTCCCACTTACTACACGTGGTGACCAGCCTTGTTTCTCCAGCGATTCCCAGAGGCTACTCTTGTACATTTAGTCAGCCAGTCAGCAAACCTATATTAAGTGTCTCTTTGCCACTCCAGAATGAAATGGTGGGATAATGGGGACTCTGATGAGGGTAAGATGGATCTCCAGGACACTTAGTCCAGAGCTGGAGTCTCTGCCTCTAGAGAAGTGAGAGAAAGCCAGACTCCTAGCTCGTCCATTCACCATGCCTCCTCGACAGTGGTCTAGAAAATGCTCCAAGGACCTTCGTCTAAAAGCAAGTTTCTGTGGCTGCCCTTGGCAGCTCAGGAAGAGGAGAGCAGGAGATCATCAAAAGGGTGACCTGGAGCCGGGAGCAGGGCCTCTGAACTGTCCATAACGGTCCCTGCAGGTGCATGTTGACTTAGAAAACTACATGTTAACATTTTCTATGTTTCATTGTATTTTTATGTATTACATATTTCCCTGTTGCATTTTAATCTGGTCTGACCCAGGCTGTGGAACAGCAGGCCGCGTTGACACCTCTGGTGTAGAGCATGAAGTTGGCAGTGCAGAAGGGTTTGGGGGAGGGGGTGAGAGGGGCTAGTGGGGGATTCATTTAGGGACTGCAAGCCAGGTTGGGTGACTTCTTTTGTCTTATCCAGCTCAGCCTCTCCAAGGCTTTGCCTTTCCCCCAGACAGGAGGACTGAGCACGGAATGTCTTCTGGATTCCTCCCAGCCAGGCTTCAGGTGAGTTCATTTACACTCCCTCCTGAGAAGCAGTTCTTTTCTTAGCATGTAGACAGTTCTTTCCCTTGTCAGTCAGGCATTATTTTCAGTGGTATCAGTTCACCCAAATCCCTTCTAAGGAGCTTGGCTTGAATTCTTCTTTGCAGAAACCTGAGGCTTTTCTCATCAATTAGGCAAAGTTTATCTGTCGTTAGAGCTCAGCTATCTCCATGAGATGTAAGTGGACAAATTTTAGATAGGCTGTACATACTCTGATAAGGATGCGTAGGTGTGATTGTAGCACCTGTGAATGAATGATGGACGTTAAGCATCTGCATGGGGGCATTAATTAAGATTGTTGTGTCAATTAAAAAGTTCAAATCAGCAAACATTTATTAAACTCCCGCAGTTCGAGGCAGTGGTGATGCAAAGATAAAGATGGATATGCATATAAAAGACTTAAGAAAGTAATACAGTACCTGAAGAGGCCTGTGGAGACAGATTGGGTGGGAGCAAACTAGAAAGTCGGGGAGAGAGGGCTGTGCAGGAGGAGGTGAAAGAAAGTGTCCCAGCACCTCATCATGGCACTACTTTTGGAGGATAGCGTTCAATTTGTGGTCCCGTATTTCAGGAGTGAGGACAGTTAGGTGGTGCGATGGATAGAGTGGCGGGCCTGGAGTCAGGAAAACCCGAATTCAAATCCAGCCTCAGGCACTTACTAGCTGTGTGACGATGGGCTCAACAAGTCAATGTAATAAAAATGACATTATTATCTAAATGAATTTACTTATTCAATGCCATACCAATCAAACTACCAAAGAATTAGGAAAAATGATAATGAAATTCATATGGAGGCAAAATGGGTCAAGGCTCTCAAAGGAAATAAGGCAAAAAGTGGGAATAAAAGTGCCTAGCCATACCAGATCCCAAACCATTATAAAGCAATAATTCTCAAAACAACTTGGTACCAGTTAGAAAATAGAGAGCTTGATCAGGGGAACAGGTAAACAGTGAACCTATTGGCCTGGTGTTTGATCAACACAAAGACCCAAGCTACTTGGGGAAAGTCTTACTCTTTGGAAAACGGGAGAATGGTACGCAAGAAATTAGGTGTAGACCAAGATGCCCAGTTCTGAGATCTCAATAGATGTTACTGAGACAATACAGGTAACATCATAAACAGAGGAGAAAGTAATAATTGTAAAGTGCTTAGCATAGTGCTTGGCACTCTAAGCCCCAAATAAAAAAGTCGATAAGTCTCCCTCAGAAAAAGAAGAGGAAGGGGACCGATCAAGTAGGCAGAACTACAGAAAAGGTGGGCTGCCCACCCGTCAGGCTGTGTTTGTGCCCTGACATGGTAAGAGGCCCAGAGAAAGCCTTGTTGGTTAGACCCTTGGTGGGGATGGGGAGGGGTTTCTGTAAAGGTACCAGAGGCTGGTTTATCATCTTGCTTGGAGAGAAAACTGTCATCAGAAAGACAGCAGGTATATTCCTTTGGAATGTAACAGAGTTCTGTGCCTATGGAGGGAAACCACAATAAATGTTATGATTACGCAGGGGTGGGAGTGGAAGGTGGGGGACAGGACTGATTTTATTCCAGGTCTCCAAAGTACAGAGGAATCAGTGACCTCTGAGAAGGAGTAGAGCGCCATTCATGGCGGGCAGTGGAGAGTGCTCCTTGCCTGACGGGCCACTTGTGGGGTGCCACGTCCTGAGTGAATAAGCCTCCAATAAGTTGATCAGTAATGGGCACATGTAGCCAACTCTAAGTTCATATTTGGAGTGTGCTAATGTCAGTGTGATGTATCTGTCAGGTGTTTGCTGATTTTTCTCGTGAGGTTTTGGGCATTGGGAGAAAAGTGCATGATTTTCTTGGGGTTCACCTGTGGAAAGGGTGAACTTGAGCACTCGTGTAAAACTGTACATGCCACTGAGTGGAACAAGGAGAAGCCTAGAGGAAGTTGTTATTTAAGAAATATTTGACACGAAATATTCCAACTCTCAGTGCTATGAAAACTTCTGCCTTGACGCCCTTCAGCTTCCTGTGTCTCAAGGCCTTTGAGGGGAGTGGTCCTTGACAAGCAGGGATGTGTTTGGTTCAGGAATCAGTAACGTTCAAGGATGTGGCCGTGAACTTCACCTGGGAGGAGTGGCGTTACCTGGAGCCTGCCCAGAGGGCCCTGTACAGGGACGTGATGATGGAGAACTATGAGAACCTGGTCTCCCTTGGTAAGCACCCCGTTGGTCTCCTGGGACTCAGAGTCTGGCCACAGGGTCCTGCAGACTGTGGGGTACATCTGAAAAGGTGAGCTGAGTTTTGGCTTCTTACATAAGAGAATTTAAGATTACCAGTCACCTGTGGTAAGTCCTAGGTCCCTCATGGCCCACTGAGGGAAGTTTTCAAGTGAAAGTCTTTGCTTGGAGCTGATAGCAACCCGTGGGTCCTTTGTGCTGTCCCTGTTCTGCTGACACGCAGGCTGATGTCCCTGAGCAGTGGGAAGGCTTCTTTCTCCCAGAAGCCTTGATCTCTCTCCTGTCCAGGTGAGGCCAGCAGCAAACACCTCTTGGCTGAACCTTGTGTTCTGAAGTTCAGTTTCTTCCACGTAACAGGGACTTAATGAATAGGTCCCAGGCCTGACTACCTCCCCTGATGTGGGCGTTAAAGGATTCCTTTTGGCCCCTAGGCTCAAATGTAAAATTTTCTGGTTACCATTCCTAACCCTCCCCAGGCTGGCCCTGGCCTATCCACTTGTTTCAGAGGTCCTTGGCACCAGCTATGTGCTTCTTTGGCTATCCCTCTTTCTAGGACTAGCAGTGAAGTGTTAGATAACTTTCTGTCTTCAGCCCTCTCCCATTTCTACCCGGTTCCTAGGGCTTCCTGTTTCCAAACTGGATGTGATCTCCCTATTAGAGAGAAAAGTACAATGGATGCCAGAAGGAGAAGTTTCCAGAGGCTCTCGTACAGGTGAGTGAGCTCAAAACAGGTAAAGGGGAGTCGTTGCAAACAGTATTTCCTCTAATCCCTGGTGCCCAGGGAGCTTACCTCCAGGGCTTTGTGGGGAGACCTTGGGCTGCAAAGTATGAACTTCACTTTTCACTGTCCCCAAATCTGTCTCTCTCTCCTTTCCTGTCTCAGTGAATAAGATATGCTCCTTCTTTTGTGTTGTTTAAAATAATTTTCAGTTTAATAACCATCAGCAAAAAAGATTCCTTATACACAAGGAAGAGTGATAAGTAATATCTCAAACTACAAATTTCCATTATTTTCAGTTACTTTAAAATGTAGATTAACTTTATTTTTTAGAAATAAATTTTGTCAATAGCTTTTGTTTTGATGCCGTCTACATTTCTCTGCATATCACTTCTCTTCCCTTTCCAGAGAATAAAAGAAGATAAAAAACCAGTTCAGCACAACTATTTACATGAATAATTAACATACTTAATGATATTAAAAACAAAAATATCCAAACTACGTTATTTTTCTCTTAGATTCAGAAAAAAACATTTGCCAAAGTATAAGAGGGATCTTTTAACATAAGATTTAAAAATATCTAAACCCAAAGCTGGTGTTATGTGTAGTGGGGAAATAGTAGGGAAATAGCAGGTGCTTTCCCAGCAGGTATAGGAGTGAAGCCAGCATGCCTTCTTTCCACACTATTGTTGTGACCCAGTCTTAGAAATCCTAGCAATAGCAGTAAGACATGAAGAGAAATTAAAGGCATAAAGGTAGGTAAAGAAGAGAAAAAACTCATTTTAATGAAAGTATTACCAGCGGCATCAGTTGTGAAAGTAAAATCCAAGAAACAGATTTGGTGTTCTTTGATTGAGGAAGGGGTGAGCCTGTGATGGTTTGTGCGTATAGTGGAATATTAGACAGGAAAACGACGTAAAAGAATTGGAGCAGTAGCAGAAGGCTAACATGCCATGGGGCAGAAGGAAGAAAGAGGATCTGACAGGATAGTAGATTGCCTGATGACCACAGATAGGCTCAAAGCAGGCTAATCAATTCCTCACTGTATTTCAGCAGAGCCTGGGTGGGGAGCCTGTTGCACTCTGATCAGTGAGAGAGGATGGTCTGCCTTCTTGTGTAGTCCTTTTTCTTCATTATCTGAAGACCATGAGACTAGAACCGCATCACCCCTGGGCTCTCTGCACTTGTGACTCCCTCTCTGACCCAGGAGACGTTCTGGTTCTGGCTGCTGTGTCCTTTGAGGTCCTTCAGGCTAGCTCAGCTCAGCTCAGCAGGCTGGGAGGGCTCAAAGCCTCCCCCGCGCATCACAGACTTATCACTGTTTTCCTGACGTCGCCTTCTATTCTCATGTCCGCAGTGGGAGCATCCTGGTGTCCCTGCTCCTTGTTACGTGGAACAGAAGTCCCTGGTGCCCTTGCAGCATTTCTGGTCTGACTGGAGGACTAGGGGCTCTGCCCTGGCCCTGGCTTTTATGGCTTGACCCCCTCCTTTGGTTCCCTCAGGCTTCTGCATGTCACCTTGGCTAGACATGGGCTGAAGGAAGGAAGCATTTATTAAGCACCTTCTGTGTGCCAGGCACTGGGCTAAGGGCTTTACAAATATGATCTTACTTGATCCTCACAACCACTCTAGGGAAGTAGGTACAATTATTTTCCCATTTTTACAATTGAAACTGAGGCAAACAGCTTAGGTGACTTGCTGAGGTCAGATTGGAAATCAGGTCTTCCTGACTTTAGACGCCTGGAGTGTTCTTGTAGCTGTAGTATGAAACTTAACAAAAAGGTAAACTGAGGCAATTCTCCAAGCAAGATAACAGTTTATTAACAGGGAGCCATGTTTACAATGAAGAGGTCAGGGCTTGCCTCCTTTTATGCCAAAGACCTTGAATTGAAGGTGCAAGTCATTTTTATAAGCACAGAACAGAGATCATGCCATTGATTATGGGAATGATAACATCAGGGGGTTAGGGAATCATGATTGGTTATATTGAAGAAAGTGGGCATAGCCCCCACGTGGAGTGAAGACCACTGCCTTCTGTCTGTAAGGAAAGCTTTTGTAAATGTTGTGGGTCCTGAGGTTGCTGATAAGGACCCAGGTGACTAGAGGAGAAGACCGAACCATCTTTTTAATTGCTAAAGCTGGGAGAGGGTCAGTTAGTCCACAAACCCTGCGGCGCACGCTGAGATGATGGTTTATGAGAGGATCGAGAACAGTTCTTCTTCCACTAACGGCCGTTGTGGGAAAGCTGAAGCCTTGGGATCTAACTTCAGAGAGAGACGCGGCTGAGCTCTGGCGCCCGTGAGCTTCTCCGTTCAGAGGCAGAGGAGGCTCTAGGGCTATTACGTGGAATACAGAATATGGTTTCAGACTAGGATCACTTACAGAGTAAAATCACATGTAAAGTACCGGGTTGGTAATTCTCTCCTAGCATCGCTTTGTGACAGTAAGTCAGCCAGCATTGATCGGGCCACGTTACTGTTATTACATTTATTAGGTGCATTTCTGTGTGCCGGACTTTGTAGTAAGCCCCTGCCCTTGGGGAGCTCACGCTCTAATGAAGAAGACAATGTGCAGAGAATTATGTACAAACAAAATATATGAAGAATACATTGGAGATAATTAAGAGTCAAGGCAGAAGTATTAAGGGAAACTGTAAAAGACTTCTTGCAGAAGTTGGGATTTTAGCTGAGACTTATGAGAAACCAGGAGGCAGAGATAAAGAGAGAGAGAATTCCAGGCAGGAGGGACAGCCCGTGAAAATGCCTGGAGTTGGAAGATGGAGCATTTTTGTGAGGAACAGCCAAGAGGCCAGTGTCAAAGCGTTGTGGAGTTCATGGAGGGGAGTAAATATAAGAAGACTGAAGACGATGGAAGGAGCCGCACCATAAAGGGCTTTAAAAGATGGATTTAGATTTGATCCTACTGGTCATGGGGAGCCGATGGACTTTACTGAATGGGGAAGGGATTGACACGGTCACACCTATGCTTTAGAAAGACTCTGATGGCCAAGCAGAGGAAGGACTCAAGTGGGGAGAGCCTTGTGGCAGCAGACCCACCAGCAGCTCCTGCAGCAATCCAGGTGTGAGGTGGTGAAGACTTATATCAGGGTGGGGGCCGTGTCAGAGGAGAGAAGGGAGCGTATTACGTAGGTGCTGGAAAGGGAGAATCACAAGGCGTTGCATGTTGGGAATGAGAGAGGAGTCCAGCAGAAAATCAGGAACAAAGTAGATGCCCACTAATTGGAGAAATGGCCAAACAAATTGTGGTACGTGAATGTAACCGACCGTTACTGTTCTGTGAGAAAAAAGAAATACGATAAAGACAGACTCTTGGAAAGACTGGTTTGAATTGATCCAAAATGAAGCAATCAGAACCAGGAAAAAAAAAAACACACAACTGCAACCCTATAAATGGAAAGGATAATAAAACAATCAAAACGGAATGCTGCAAAATTATAATGCCCCGGCTTGGCTTGAAAGAAAGAGATCCTTCGTTGTCGTTGAGAGTCGTGGGTGTGGAATACTTCACATAACTTCAGACTTTTTAGAAATCTTGGTTAGCTTTTTGTTTGTTTTTCTTTCTCTTTAAAAATTCCTTATTATGCAGAATGTTTCTTTGGGAGGATGAGGAGGGAAGGGCATGGTGGGAAATGTAGGTGATGTAAAAACACATATAAATAAAAATTCATTTAAAAGAAATAAACCCAAATGGAATTTCTCATTCATAGGATCAAAGCTCCAGAGCTTGAAGCTACCTCAGAGGACATCTAGTTCAGTTCCTTCATTTTACGGTTGAGGAAATAGGTGCAGGAAATCAAATGATTTATCCAGGTCGACATAGGTGTTGAGAGATGGAGGATTTGAACTCAGTTCCCATGACTCTTGAGGCATTGTTCTTTCCCCTGTGCCATGCTGCCTCCATTTCTGTCAGGATTTCATTTTTTCTAAGAAATCTATTAAGAATATATTTTCCCAGTCTGTTTCTTTTCTTTCTCATTTGGAAATACTGCTTTTTCTTTGGAAAAACTCTATATTTTTATATAATCAAACCTATTCCTTCAATAATGCTTCATTTTGTTGAATAGATAAGAATATTCTGCTTCCCCAGAGTTGCAAATTATAACTAACACATTCTTTACATATGCTTCTCATGGGTACCCAGAAAGCCACCTTAAATTCTCCTTACTTTTTGGGTTAAAATACTCCCAAAACCATAACTCACAATTCCCTATCAATTTTGTTATAAGAGTTTTTAATTTCCTTTCTATTGGTTCCAATACTGCCATTTTATTTGTAAGGAAAATCATGTAACCAGCTAAGGCTTTCCTTACAGTGTGGAATTTAGCAGTCTTCCAGATGATTAGCTTGTCAGGGGTAAAAATTCTGGCTCAGCTTTATGATAAGCATTACCTGACTAATTGTAAATTCCAGAGTAACTCCTCTCAGTGTTTTTTAAATTGAGTTTTTACTGATATTTCCTATTTCTTACATCACCGTAGTATCCCATCTCTCCCTCCTCAAGAGACATCCTGTAAGACAAATAGTATATTCTAGAGAAAAAAAAAGAGCACAACTGACCAATACATTGAGGAATCCAAAAACCTGTGCCATGTGTGACCCCTGTGGACTTCCTACCTCCACAAAGGGCTAGGTTGGGGGTGTGTTCCCATGTCTTCATTTGAGTCCTGTTTGATCTTTATGATTTTGCTTCTTGTGTTTTTGATGTTTTGGTACGTCTTCATTCTTTCCATTTACATCATTGTAGTCACTGTGTATATTGTTTTCTTGGCTGTACTGACTTTACTTTGCATCAGTTCATGTAAATCTTTCCATGTTTCATAGTAGTCATCACACACATTGTTTCTTATAGTACAGTAATATTCCATTACATTCATGTACCACAATTTGTTTAGCTGTTCCCCAATTGATGGGCATCTACTTTGTTTCCAATTCTTAGCTGTCACAGAGTGCTGCTATAAAGATTTTGGAGTCTGT